CTATTTTGGTTTCATCTGACCATATGACATTCTCCCAATCCTCAATTCTGGATCATCCAAATGCTCTCTAGCAAACTTCAGACGGGCCCGGGCATGTACTGGCTTAAGCAGGGGGACACATCTGGCACTGCAAGATCTGAGTCCCTGGTGGCATAGTGTGTTACTGATGGTAGCCTTTGTTACGTTTGTCCCAGCTCTCTGCAGGTCATTCACTAGGTCCCCCTGTGTGGTCCTGGGATTTTCGCTCACCGTTCTTGTGATCATTTTGACCCCACGGGGTAAGATCTTGCGTGGAGCCCCAGATCGAGGGAGATTATCAGTGGTCTTGTATGTCTTCCATTTTCTAATTATTGCTCCCACAGTTGATTTGTACCAAGCTGCTTGCCTATTGCAGATTCAGTCTTCCCAGCCTGGTGCAGGTCTACAATTTTGTTTCTGGTGTCCTTCGACAGCTCTTTGGTCTTCACCATAGTGGAGTTTGGAGTGTGACTGTTTGAGGTTGTGGACAGGTGTCTTTTATACTGATAACAAGTTCAAACAAGTGTCATTGATACAGGTAATGAGTGCAGGACAGGGGAGCCTCTTAAAGAAGAAGGTACAGGTCTGTGAGAGCCAGAAATCTTGCTTGTTTGTAGGTGACCAAATACTTATTTTCCACCATAATTTGCAAATAAATTCTTTCCAAATCAGCCAATGTGATTGTCTGGATTTTTTTTCTCATTTTGTCTCTCATAGTTGAGGTCTACCTATGATGCCAATTACAGCCTCTTTCATCTTTTTAAGTGGGAGAACTTGCACAATTGGTGGCTGACTAAATACTTTTTTGCCCCACTGTATATGGTTGAGGTAACATTTCTTGTTTGTGCTGTTTAATGTCTGCCTATTGTCGAAGGCAGACAGGTGTCCGGGACTTTTCTTTTTACCCATGCACAACCTAGGACCTCATTAGCTTAAAACATGTTTTACTTCAAAACTGTTCCGTAAGCAAGTAAAAGTCCAATTCCTAAAACATACCTTCTTTTAGGGTTGCTGTCACTAACCATCCTAGAAAAATTAGCCTTACAGCATCACAAATCAGCAACAATCTGTGTAGTAATTCCAGATCCAACTTCCTCCAGCTGCTAGTCAACCTTAGGAATAAGCTCACAGCTGAGTGGATAAGATAACACAATGGCAAAGCAAATGCTTTACACGGTACTGTATTTTTATATATACAGTTGTGTTCAAAATAATAGCAGTCAGACATCACTAACCTGGTCAATCACTGTTTTTGGTAGAAATGATATTTCTACATGGCAAATAATTTACTAGCAGGTGTAGTAGAGTAATAGAAATCCAACAGACCCAACAGTCATGACATTCATGCTGCTGATTTTGTGTAATTGAATCACTAATTGAAAGGGGCATGTTCAAAATAATAGCAGTGTGGAGTTCTATCAGTGAGGTCATTCATTCTTTGAAAAACAGGTGGCAATTATTGCCCTTATTTAAGGAAGGAAGGCAGCAAATGTTGTACATGCTGGTTACAGTGCATTTCTCTCTGAAATTCTGAGGAAAATGGGTCGTTCCAGACATTGTTCAGAAGAACAGCGTACCTCGATTAAAAAGTTGATTGGAGAGGGGAAAACATATAAAGAAGTGCAGAAAATCATAGGCTGCTCAGCTAAAATGATCGCAAATGCTTTAAAATGGCAACCAAAACCTGAAAGACATGGAAGAAAGCGAAAAACTACCATTGGAATGGATAGAAGAATAGCCAAAATGGCAAGGACTCAGCCAACAATCAGCTCCAGGAAGATCAAAGAAGGTCTAAAGTTACCTGTGAGTACTGTTACAATTAGAAGACGCCTATGTGAAGCCAAGCTATCTGCAAGAAGCCCCCGCAAAGTCCCACTGTTGAAAAAAAGACATGTGCTGAAGAGGTTACAATTTGCCAAAGAGCACATTGACTGGCCTAAAGAGAAATGGCGCAACATTTTGTGGACTGATGAAAGTAAGATTGTTCTTTTTGGGTCTAGTGCCCGGGGACAGTTTGTCAGACGATCCCCAAACACCGAATTCAAGCCACAGTACACTGTGAAGACAGTGAAGCATGGTTGTGCAAGCATCATGATATGGGGATGTTTCTCATACTACGGTGTTGGGCCTATTTATCGCATACCAGGGATCATGGATCAGTTTGAATACATCAGTATACTTGAAGAGGTCATGCTGCCTTATGCTGCAGAGGAAATGCCCTTGAAATGGGTGTTCCAACAAGACAACGACCCCAAACACACCAGTAAACGTGCAACATCTTGGTTCCAGACCAACAAGATTGATGTTATGGAGTGGCCAGCCCAATCCCCGGATCTTAATCCAATAGAAAACTTGTGGAGTGACATCAAAAATGCAGTTTCTGAGGCAAAACCAAGAAATAGAGAAGAACTGTGGAATGTAGTCCAATCATCCTGGGCTGGAATACCTGTTCACAGGTGCCAGAAGTTCAGTTTATATAGTGAATGTTTGAGTTTGTAAAGAAGAATACAAACGCTGCTATTTTTTGAACAGTCTAATCACTTTTCTTCAATTTTTTTTAGAGGAACAACACAAATTTTATATATTTTTCTTCATGTTTTGATTTGGAATAGAATGTGTAGTGTTCCCCAATGCATTTGTGTGTATGGAAATAAAAGCTATTAGGATTCACTTTTTCAACACACTGCTATTATTTTGAACACAACTGTGTATGTGTGTGTGTGTGTGTGTATATATGTATATATATATATATATATATATATATATACATATATATATATATATATATATATATATAAAATGTGTGTGTGTGTGTGTTTATGATTTTTAAAAAAAATATTCTTCCAAAAAATGTAATTCTTGAATAAATTCTGATTTCTTTATCAATATTTCTATTATTAATTTGCGCAATTGACTTTGTTAGGAATGTGTTGAAGGTTTCCGGTTCCTGGATATGTTATGGCTTCCTGTTACTGTTCAGTATGGTCTGTTCCACTTGTCATGTGTGCAATATCCCTCAGGTTCACCTGTGCAGCCCTCACTTGATCCTATGTCGAGCAGTCTTTGGCATGTTTAAGGCAACTTGCACAACGGGAAGCAGCAGAAGTATCAGAACATGCGTTGACAATGGCCAAAGATGGGCAAGAGAGTCTTAAAATGGGTAAGTCTACTTTTGGTTATATTGCGTTATCAGTGTTGCATAAATTGTTACTGGCACACTCCCAGAACTGTACTCAAAACAATTATTTTTTTTGTGTAGAGAGGGGAACAGGCATTGATCCTCCAGCCAGACTTTGCACTTTTATCACAGTACTCCGTTGAACGCTTTTCCATGTTTTCCCCACTTCATGACCAGGCCGTTTCTTGCTTTTTGACATAGACAACATTTTATAATTTTTTTCTCCACAAATAGAGCTTTCTGCTACATATTTGTGGTAAAAAAGCCCCAATAGGTGTTCCCTCTGTTCTCAGTGGAAAGGGAGCCAGGGGAGGAGAAACAGAAGTACACTGAACTTCCCAGTGTGGGGTGGAGGGGAGTTGTGTCAGAACGATCTGAGAAGAGCAGGCTGAGTTCACAGTATAGCTAGAGAACTGACCATGGTGTGCTCTCAAGCATAGTGTTGTCAGTTTTTAATAGGAAAGCAGAGGGACTGGCAGGAACACCAGGGATTTCACACAAAGAAAGCAATACAAAGAGAACAGGATAGTTTTCCTACAAGTACATGGTACAACAGGCACATATTAAGAATATGAAATGTTGAGTTTATTTACTCTTTAAGTTCTCCCAAGAGTCAACACACTGGCTGCTTCAGGGGTGAGAGCTCAAGAGAAAAGTACAGAGAATGGTTTCTGTAATGCTTTCAAGAAGCTATGTACAGCACTTTGTTGTCAACGTCAGCTAGCTGTGATATACCTGGATTGCATAGAGAATCACAGAGAACCAGTTATGACATAATTTTTCTAAAATAAATTATGTGATGGAAAAAGGTTTTTATTTAAAGAGTTCATTAGCCTGTTGATGAGGGGGGAAGGAAAATCCAGGAAAGGCGATATAAGCTGATTAAAATGTTTTGTAAAGGCAGAAGGTAAAAAAAAAAACTTCTGCATGTAGCTTCCCCCACCACCCCCCCTAAATACATACCTGTGCCTGATCTCAATCCATCGATGTGTACAAGAGCCAAGGCTCTCTTGCTCCTCATTGGCTCAGATACAGCAACAGGAACCATTGGCTCCCGCTGTTGTCGATCGGAGCCAGTGATGAGGAGCGGGGGTCAGGGGGCCAAGCCCTGTTATGTGTGTCTAATGGACACACAAAGCAGGGCTCAGGAGAGAGCATGTATGTGGTAAGGGGGGGATGGAGCTCAGAGCGCTGGCGGAGGACCCCAGAAGAGGAGAGACGGGCTTCTCTGTGCAAAACCATTGCGCAAAGCAGGTAAGTATTACATGTTTGTTATTTTTAAAAAAAGCTAAGCTTTACAATCACTTTAAACTTTAGTCTTAAAGTATGTTTTAGGGCAAAATATAAAAAAAATACTAGCAGTATGTATTTGCAATACTTGCACATTTCTCAGTATTTAATCCTTTATAGATCCTACAGGTACATACAATTACCAATTGATCTGCCAAAGTCTCAGTTTTTTAATTTAGTTCCAGATACGAATTGAGAGGACTAATATTCCTCCTTAAGATAACAAAGGAAGTGGCACAGGACAACTGAATTCGTGCAATGCTTGCACTAATTAAATAATAACAAAGCATTTTCAGTGGTATATTTGATATGTTTTCTAATGACTACTGTGTTTGACTTTTTGTTGTTCTTCCCATGGTCAGATGTAAACATGCGAGAACTTGGCTTGGAAGGAGTTTTGCTGAGTCTTCTGGACAGGGAGACTGATCGGCAGCTGCTGCAAGATGTAAAGGAAACCTTGTTACACATGCAGAGCTGTACAGGCCTGAGCCGGCTATCATTCTGGCTGCGCCTACATAAAGACATTCTTTCTTCTTCTGCGGGTAAGTGTACAGGTGGTCACTGTTATGTATGAATAGTTATCTACTCTCCACTCTCAAGATAATATGAAAGGTTCTGTTCCAGCAATTTGTAGTTGTGCCTTGTTTTATACTTCCTGGTCTTCGTCTTTTTCCAGACTTGTCAGCAATGGCCTCCGTTGATACCACCCAGGAAGATGATGGTGAACACTGCTCAGATGCAGTCCTCACATCTCGAAAGGAGGATACCTCTGCCCTCGTGGTTAGCCCTCGCTGGCACACAAGAGTATTTTCTATGGAATGCATATGCTTGTTGATGTCACAGTGTGAAGAAGAGAGTGGGGCTCACTTTAGCATGGCACGGGCTCAGGAGCTGAAGCACAAAGAACCCGATCGTAAGTGGTGGCTTGAGAGTATGTCCTAGTACTATTGTGCAGTGTGGAATTTAGAAGGCAACGTCCTTTCTTATTATAAAACATTCAGTGTTAGTAAACCCAGGACCCTGCATTCACTATATCTGGTCTTCCACAGTACACTGAACATGGAAATGCAATTATTTTAGTAAATATAGACTGCTAGATGCCTTTTCTCATCAGCAGTGTATAGCAGTCTTGTGACTTCTATCATTGTCCAGCTGAGCACTGGTCAAAGCTTGTAGGCGTTTTCATTTGCTCTAACTGTCCTATGAGGATGCTTAACCCTGACCCTCTGTCTAGATGGTGCTGATTGACCCTGTGCTGATCACATGCACCCTCCCAAGGAAAAATAAAACTCTCTAGCAATACACGCTAAACCGAGCATGTGCAGAGTTTCTCCTAGAGCTCTGTACTATCTGCAGATGGATTAAGGACAGTATAAGAAAGGGAGGATCAGAGAAGACAGGATCAAACAGTCTTTTTACACAATTCGCAGGATTAACACCTTAGGTTCCACAGTGAGTATAACAAACATGCTTTACTGCATATACAGACTGATTTTACTGTTGTGGATTTAGTAACACTTTAATGAACACATAGCTCTTCTCTCCTAGTCTTTTCAGCTTACGCTACAGGGCCTTGCAGGAAGCTAATATAATAAATATTAACATTCTTTTTCCAGCTATATTTATACAATTTAATAAATTTATATGAATTGTTTTTCTCCTGTGTGCTGGAATTTCACTTTGTACTGGAACAGAGAGGACTGAATCAAAATGGCATAAAGGCATCATTGTCATCAATTGGCAAATATAATGGAGAATCCTAGTACTTAGATGATTTGTTCAGTGATGGGCAGATATCTCTTCTCTTGTCAGTCTAGGTAATAGAATGTATATACACATGGACAGCCTAGGACACAAGCATTGTACACAAGCAAAAAGCACAACCTGCATATATTATATGGCTGTTCTGTTTTTAAATATTTTTACCATTTATACACAGGAAAACACCTATTGATGAGATTATTTACAGTAAGATGGTAACTTAATTTTGCATATGTACATTAAAAATAAATTCCTTTTATAGTAAGCACCTTGGTAAAAATAGATGCATTGGGAAATGATACTACAGAGAGATACAAAAATTATTTCAAGGTTGCTAAAGCCAGTCATACATAGATCGAAATTCAGCAAGGACTGGCCGAATTTTTGATCCATCTGTGGGCAGGCTGGTTGTACACAAGTCAATCAATAGTGTACAACCAACCTGTTGTGTTTTTGCCAAATGGTCAGTGCCACCAGCTATAGCCGGTAACACTGATCATTGTTTTCTGATGGCAGGAAAGTTTTGAATGTGTGGATGGGGGAATTGGCTTGTTTTTTTTTTTGTTCAATTTCTCTGGTTGAATAAAAAAAAATTAATTGTATGGCCAGCTTAAGTGTTTCCATAATGTTGCAAGTTTTTTATCACTTGGGTAAATAGGCCTATTTTCTTACTGTCCTGCTATGTATTCTTATTTCTCAGGAGATTTCCTGGTGCTTCATCTTCAAGATCTGATTCGCATGTCCTTCATGGCTGCCACAGATCACAGTGAAGAGCTGCGTCTGGTGGGGCTGCAGGCCTTGTTACAAGTTATACATCGATTTTCCGCTGTGCCGGAGCCAGAATTTCCTGGACATGTTATATTGGAGCAGTACCAAGCCAATGTGAGTTTTTAGAAGTCATACAGATGTGTGTGTATAACTGGCTGAACTGAACTTCTGGTCCTTCCCCTTTAGTAAAAGTGAAACTGTGGGGGCGTGGCCTGCACAAAGATTTCGGAGACAGGAACGGGCCCTCCGGAGGATGATGGTGCCTCTCCTGCCTCAGAAGCTCCTACTGCAGAAACAATGAGAGTGCTGGAAGCAATATCCTCCTGTCAGGCGTCATTAACGACGAAAATAGAGGAAGTGAAGTTAGATATATCTCTTATACACCAAGACCTGCGCAAGCTCCGTGACAAAGTCACTGAGACTGAGGCCCCAATCAGCCAGCTCGAAGACACTCTCCACACTCTGTGACACACCACCGAGGCCATGCAACACCAACTGCAACAGCTCGCCCAGAAACAGGATGATCTGGAGAACTGGTCCCGCCAATGTAACTTCCGCTTTGACTTTCCGGAGGGCAAGGACCCGGCCACGTTTTTGGAAAATTTGCTCATTACCACCTTTGGTAGGGGAGACCTTCTCGACCACACTGGTAGTGGGAAGGGCGCATCGGATGCCGGCCTGCCAACCTCTGGAGGGGGCACCCCCTCGAACTTTAATCATTAAAATCCTTAACTTTAGAGATTGGGATGCTGTGTTAAGGCTATCTAGAGAGAGAGGCAACATTCCCTACCAGAATTCTACTCAGACTTCTCGGCTGAGATTCATCGGCAGCGATCCCGCGCCTCTGCACTTAACACCTAAAATATGCCATGCTCTTTCCTGCCTGCCTTCGGGTGGTGGGTGTAAACCGAGTACACATCTTTGAGGACCTGGAATCGGCCTCATCCTGGCTTGACCAACTTGAGGAGCATTGCAGTTGCCCCGGTTGATCCTCCGTGTATGATTCTGAGTTCATGAGTTTGTCTCCCCTTACACCGAAGGAGTCGGAGGGGGACTCTACCTCTGTCGTTTGACTCGTTTTCTCAGGAACTTCTACAGCACAACGTGCCTTTGAGGCCCCTGATCTCCTTTTTTTTTTTCCCCTATTATGGTTATTTTTCATTCCACATCAAGGTCCAGGTATCTAACTTCCTATCCTATTCACCGCACTTAGACACCAGGTTACCTCTTTTCCCCGCTCATTTGCTCCTCATCCCCATCCTCTGCTAACTGGGCTTGAACGACGGGTGGGAGAATCTCTGTCTTCAAACGGGAGGCCATCTGATTTTGATTCTACGCCACTGAGCGGCTGATCTCATGGCTATCCAGCAGTACTACGACTAGCCACTTGCTGACACTTGCACTTAGTGTTCTGCTACTTATACATCTCTCCAGTGAGAGTTTGTCCCCTTAGGACTGTGTTTTATGATAGTCTGTTATGGGATTTATGCCCCCACTGGGGTGGGGGGTAGGGGAAATGTTAAAGTTTGTATTTTAGCTTGTTATAGTTTGCAGTTATCAGATCTCTTGCTACATTGCTACATAAGTATTGTAATTGCTCTATGTATGTTTCTCCAAGTCTGGACCGAACCTTGTAGTATCTCTGCCATGGGTGTCTCACTGCCGATTACCTGCGGATATGTGTTACACAGTACCATATGGCACCAGTGAAATTTTCTAACATGGAATGTGCGCAGGATCCGTGGCAAACTAAAGCATTCAGCACTGTTTAAATGCCTTAAAGCAGTACTGACTCCCATGGCAGATATATTTTTATGCATGTAACTTTATATGGTCAGCCCTATTTAATCCTGACCTGTTATATTCCACCCCCGTACAGCTCCGCGGGTGGTCAGTGAGGGATTTCTTTTTATGGCCCAATACCCAACGATGCCTGCAATATGGCTTGGGAACTTCAATATGGTCCTGAATCCGGTTTTGGACCGTTTACACCCCTTGACGGACCCCCCTACTAGGTTGACAACTAGACTTAGACGTTTGTTTGCAAATTTTGCTTTAACGACACCTGGTGTTACAGACACCCCCACACGCAGGCGTTCTCTTGTTTTTTGGCGACTCACTTTACCATGTCCCGTATAGATCTTGTAATGGTGTCCTCTATTTTGCTACCTCTTTGGGAAGATGCGGGTTTCCATCTGAGAATACTGTCTGATCATGCCCCCTGTTGGGCCACCCTTCGTTTTGCCCCACAAGCATAGCCCTCCTTGTGGCGGTTGCACTCCTTTTGGCTATCTGCCCTAACGAACCAAGAGGATATTCAGTGGGAGTGGCAATATTTCTTTAAGAGCAACCGGAACACGGCATCGATGGGCTCGGTGTGGGTCTCATTTAAGCTGCATGCTCTCATGGTGTTATCAACACATATTAACAGACTGAAATCCTCCTCTAATGTTTTGCGACAGGCCATTGACCACTTAAATTCCTTGACCAGTACTTTTCAGACCAACCCTTCCCCCTCAAATTCTGCAGTATTATACTCCCACACTCGTCTCGTCAAACAGCTCCATTTTGTGAAAGCTAAACAACTTTTTTTTCGCTCGGCAGAGCATTTTAGAATGAGGGAAATGGGCTGGCAAATTATTAGCCTATTTGGCTCATCAGAATTTGAGATTGCCAGTGGTCGTTACGCTTACAGACACAAGTGGGGCCAATATCACTGACCCAAAGCAGACTGCGGTGGAGTTTCGTGGGTACTATGCCTCCCTATACTCCTCCCAGGTTACGGTTACTTCTCAAGAAACTCGTTTATTTTTGCAAACCATATCTTTCCCACGGTTGTCTGCATCCCAGACGACCGACCTTGAGGCTCCTATTACTGTTGAGGAGATCACTGTGGCGGTTTCCACTCTCATCCCAGTGAAATCTCCTGGCCGAGATGGTCTTCCCCTACATTTTTATTCTACTTACTTGGAGGTTTGATCCTGGAACAGCTATACCTATACAAAAGTACATTTACAGAGGGTGTACTCCCAGACTCTATGCGGGAAGCCCAAATTATTGTGATCCCTAAGCCCACTAAAGACTTTGCTTACCCGGAGTCATATCGGCCTATTTCCCTTTTGCAAGTGGAAATCAAGATTTTGGCTACATGCCTTAACCAGATTATCCTATCCTTGATACACCCTGACCAAACAGGATTCATACCGGGGAAAAACACTGCGATGAACATACAGGCCTCCCACGATGAGGCTGGTACTAGGGCAGTGGTGACGCTTGAAGCTGCAAAGGTGTTTGATTGGTGTTGGACTGGGAAAGGTGTTGGACTGGGGTCACCTTTGGGCATGCCTTAAGAACTTTGATTTTGGGTCCAAATTCATTAAATGGGTACAATTGTTATATTATACCCCCATTGCCAGAGTGGCCGTCAACGGGTGGATATTGGACACTTTTCCCTCAGGCCGAGGGACCCGCCAGGGCTGCCCTTTGTCCCCCTTGCTATACGCACTGGCAGCGGAGCCCTTGGCCTCTTTGATAAGGACTCATCCTGATATTAGGGACCTCAGAGTTGGCTCTTTGGTGGAGTCTATTGGAATGTATGCAGATGATATGCTTCTATACTTGGCTGACACAGGCCCTTCTCTTAGTGCCGCTCTCTGGGCTATTGAGGAATTTGGAACACACTCTGGGCTGCGTATCAATTGGAGTAAATCACAGATCCTTCCTATAGACGCCTGTCCTCCGTCATACATTTCGGATTCCATGCCGCTACACAGAGTTTCTACAATCCAATATCTGGGGGTTTCCGTCACCAGGGAACCTCGAGACTACCCCACGCTTAATGTTGAGCCATTATTCACCACCTTAAGAGCACGGATCCAGTCATGGATGAGGCTCCTACTGGGAGTTGTGGGTAGCATTAACCTCGTTAAGATGATTCTTCTGCCTAAGTTCCTATATATGTTTTGGCACTCCCCAACGTTACTACCCCTGAAAGTTTTCAAAACACTTGAGGGAATCCTAAATTCATTTGTTTGGGGACCGGGTAGACACAAGCTCTTGTGGCTCATCCTTAAGAACCCTACTATGATGGGGGGGCGGCTCTCCCGGATTTTCACTCATATTACCTGGCAGTACAGCGTTCTCACTTTTACCACCTAGCTAGCTCGGAGGCCGTTCGGTACAAGGCTTTGGTATGTGGGCAACCTGGACGTACCTTATTTTCCCCCTTACAGGTGGTGTTGCGAGATGGCGGACATACTGGCTCCGCGACATGTTAATGCACCATCATAGACGCATATGGGAGTTGGCCTTTAGACGCGTGGATGCTTCTGTACTTCATTCACATGTTCCACTGTGGCTCAACCCTAGGCTGTCTGAACTCCTCACTATGCCCAATCCCGAGATGTGGTCTTCAAGGGTCATCGTGTACCTTCACCAGGTGTTCATGTCTACCGGGCCCAAGCCCAAGAGGTTCCAAACTTTAAAGGAAGAGTTCGACCTCCCTAATCATGCCTTAAGGGCCCAATTTTCTGAATGGGTCCCTTCGTTCCAACCCTTAACTTTGATGGATGTGGTGCTTGGTTCTGAACCTACCAAGTTGTTCTTGGCTCTGTACACTGCCCTATGTGCTCCAACTACAACCAGTTTGGTGGGGGTGGCTAGATCTCGTTGGGAGATGGATGTGGGGCCCCTGGAGTCGGAAATCTGGGATGAGGTGTTAGAGCAGCGGTTCTCAACCTGGGGGTCGCGACCCCTTTGGGGGTCGAACGACCATTTCCCAGGGGTCGCCTAAGACCATCGGAAAACACATATTTCCGATGGTCTTAGGAACCGAGACACCGCTGCTGTCTCCGGCGATGTGTGGGCGGGATGATACGCTGCTCCTGTCACCTGGCCACACCTCCGGGATCGCTCAGCAGCTCCGCCTCCTCGCCGCTGATTGGCCACCGGAACTGTAGCTCAGGAGAGGCACACAGGCGGCCAATCACCGGCGAGGAGGTGGAGCTTGGAGAGGAGGAGCCGAGCGGCAGCGCGCGTGCATCAAAGAAGACCGAGGGAGCTGCCGGAGCGAGTGAAGAGGAGAGCGGCCAGAGAAGGAAGACAGCTGACAGGTAAGTGAGAGAGCGAGCCCAGGCTGGAGCAGGGGTCAGCAAAGTAAGTATCATTGGTGTCAGTGGGAGGAATAGTGCCCCATCATTTGTGTCACTAATACCAACGATGGGGCACTATTCCTCCCCCCACTGACACCAACGATGGGGCACTATTCCTCCCCCCACTGACACCAACGATGGGGCACTATTCCTCCCCCCACTGACGCCAACGATGGGGCACTATTCCTCCCCCCACTGACACCAACGATGGGGCACTATTCCTCCCCCCACTGACACCAACGATGGGGCACTATTCCTCCCCCCACTGACACCAACGATGGGGCACTATTCCTCCCCCCACTGACACCAACGATGGGGCACTATTCCTCCCCCCACTGACACCAACGATGGGGCACTCTTCCTCCCCCCACTGACACCAACGATGGGGCACTATTCCTCCCCCCCAACTGACACCAACGATGGGGCACTATTCCTCCCCCCACTGACACCAACGATGTGGCACTATTCCTCCCCCCACTGACACCAACGATGTGGCACTATTCCTCCCCCCACTGACACCAACGATGGGGCACTATTCCTCCCCCCACTGACACCAACGATGGGGCACTATTCCTCCCCCCACTGACCCCAACGATGGGGCACTATTCCTCCCCCCACTGACACCAACGATGGGGCACTATTCCTCCCCCCACTGACACCAACGATGGGGCAGTATTCCTCCCCCCACTGACACCAACGATGGGGCAGTATTCTTCCCCCCACTGACACCAACGATGTGGCACTATTCCTCCCCCCACTGACACCAACGATGGGGCACTATTCCTCCCCCCACTGACACCAACGATGGGGCACTATTCCTCCCCCCACTGACCCCAATAATGGGGCACTATTCTCCCCTCCACCACACTGACATCAATGATGGGGCACTATTCCTCCCACTGACACCAATGATGGGGCACTATTCCTCCCACTGACACCAGTGATGGGGCACTACTCCCACTGACACCAGTGATGGGGCACTACTCCCCCCACTGACACCAGTGATGGGGCACTATTCCTCCCACTGACACCAATGATGGGGCACTACTCCCCCCACTGACACCAATGATGGGGCACTACTCCCCCCACTGACACCAATGATGGGGCACTACTCCCCCCACTGACACCAATGATGGGGCACTATTCCTCCCACTGACACCAATGATGGGGCACTATTCCTCCCACTGACACCAATGATGTGGCACTATTCCTCCCACTGACACCAGTGATGGAGCACTACTCCTCCCACTGACACCAGTGATGGGGCACTACTCCCCCCACTGACACCAGTGATGGAGCACTACTCCCCCCACTGACACCAATGATGGGGCACTACTCCCCCCACTGACACCAATGATGGGGCACTACTCCTCCCACTGACACCAATGATGGGGCACTATTCCTCCCACTGACACCAATGATGGGGCACTATTCCTCCCACTGACACCAACGATGGGGCACTATTCCTCCCACTGACACCAACGATGGGGCACTATTCCTCCCACTGACACCAACGATGGGGCACTATTCCTCCCACTGACACCAACGATGGGGCACTATTCCTCCCACTGACACCAACGATGGGGCACTATTCCTCCCACTGACACCAACGATGGGGCACTATTCCTCCCACTGACACCAACGATGGGGCACTATTCCTCCCACTGACACCAACGATGGGGCACTATTCCTCCCACTGACACCAGTGATGGGGCACTATTCATCCCACTGACATCAGTGATGGGGCGCTATTCCTCCCACTGATACCAACGATGGGGCACTATGCATCCCACTGACATCAGTGATGGGGCACTATTCCTCCCACTGACATCAGTGATGGGGCACTATTCATCCCACTGACATCAGTGATGGGGCACTATTCCTCCCACTGACACCAACGATGGGGCACTATTCCTCCCACTGATACCAACAATGGGGCACTATTCATCCCACTGACATCAGTGATGGGGCACTACTCCTTCCACTGACACCAATGACATGGCACTACTCCTCCCACTGCAAAATTACAATTATGAAGTAGCAATGAAAATAATTTTATGGTTGGGGGTCACCACAACATGAGGAACTGTATTAAGGGGTCGCGGCATTAGAAAGGTTGAGAACCACTGTGTTAGAGGATGTTAAATTGGTGTCCCTGAAACTCCGACAGGCTTACCCAACTCTATATCCTACATTGTGCCTACCTCACTCCACTCCGGGTCTCTAGATACCACCCTGAGCAGAGTCCCCTCTGCCCCCGTTGCCTTGGAGACACAGGTACCTTTTTCCACCTTATATGGTCCTGCCCAATTCTCCAGGCATACTGAGCACAAATCATCAAATTTCTGCATGATCACATGGGTTCACCTTTTTAACTAGACCCCAGAGTGTACCTTTTTGTCTCTTTCCCCGATATACCCAAGGACAAATCTCTTGCCACCCTCTTACGCGAAACTCTATTCAGTGTCCATAAATTACTGGCAAGCCACTGGATGCAGCAACCGTCCCCACTCTACAGACATGGTTGATTGAAGTCAATTCCACTCTACCATATAAGAAACTTACTTATATGCATAGAGGATGTCCCATGTAATATAACAAAATATGGGATAGATGGCTATTTTCCCCCGCCACCTAAGTGGTTTGACGTGATGGAGATTTTGGGAGTGGGGTTTGCCCCATCCCTCCCCCAAGCCTGACTTTCTACCGTTTTACCCCCAGGCTCTTGGTACGTTGATGTTCACTACCGTTGTTTGACATGTGATCTGTTTTGATGTCCATGTATTGTTCATTGTTCTACTCTCCCCCTGAACATATTCCCTATTGTGACTTGGGTAATTTCTTTCTGTTGTACTATATGTTCTTGATGTACCATGCTGGTTGTGCTTCTTTTCCCTGTATTTCTTTTGTATATGTTTTTGTTTTACCTTCGCTTTTCTTTACAATATTGGGGTTTTTTTCAATGTTAAAAAAAAAAGTGAAATTGCAAGGGGAGTTTGGTCCATGATTTTCAAGCAGTGGATCTTGTCACTGGATTAGTTCAGTGGATAATGTTAGTAGTATATTTAATACTGTGTAATTTAGCAAAGCTAGTTCTCTCACTGCACAATTTGTCAGAAGCATTAAAGGCTAAGTTCACCTTTTGGGGAAAAAAAAACTTAAAACTGTACTTAATATTTTTTCTTCAGGAGCCTGCAAAGCATTGTACCCGCATTGAGTGGATCAGGGGTGCAATGTCAGACTTTGCAGGCAAGCCCTGTAGCTTTCTCCCTGTACCTCCGATACAGGCTGTTTACTAGCTGCAGGGCTTGTGAATGAACTATGGTCACTGAGAACTACAAGCTGTCAGTCGCTATGGCTGGCAGTACCTGTAGTTCTCTCATTCATAGATCTCTGTGAATGATAAGGCTGTGTGGGCAGAGCCCCACATAACTGCCAAACAAAAATCAAACATTTTGGGTATACTACAGCTTGGAAAAACGGAGCTCCTACTTAATGGTTCTGATTTGTGCTTATTCCCACAGGTTTTGGCAGCTGTTAGACCAGCATTTAACACGGATACTCCACCTGATGTTACTGCCAAAGCCTGCCAGGTAAGTACTGCCATCTCATTTTCTACCTAAATGCTAGGTTACACTTGCAATTAAGGGGTGGTAAAAAACACAGCCGCTCCCCCTTAAGCTGTAAGGGCTTCACCCAGGGGTGTACATATGGTGCAATCATCCAAGTTGTGGCTGTGGTAGGAATAGTACCCCCTGTCACGTTGGACGGGCACTAATGCACACCAAACACAACCCATTTTAAGCAAATGGGGTCACACCGCAGCTGCCCCACAACCATGCGCAGTGCTTTTTCATTTAGCCGTTTGCTAATTTGCTTAATAATTGCCCTTCATAGTGTGTTGGATGACTACCCTAATCCAACAGATGTGCTGTCTTGCTGGGGTGGTAATATAAGTTAGGCTCACTTGTATATAATGTGTTTGCCATTTATAAAGTACCTGTCTTGGTTATTTCTGATACAGGTGTGCAGTGCATGGCTAGCCAGTGGAGTTGTGAAGGAGCCCTCAGACCTACACCGAGTTCAACAGCTCCTCTTGTCTTCTCTGAGTAGAGTGCAGGTGACAAAAGAAACTTCCAGTGTGTACAGTGAGAGCACTACTACCATGGAGACTTTGGCTGTGCTGAAAGCCTGGGCAGAGGTAAATGGAGCCCATCATTTACTGGTCAAAGGGAACTAGTCACAAACATGCATTAGTAAGAATCTGAATTCCCACTCTTAAATTAGTACAGTTTTTCCTCTGAAGGCTGACTGTAAACCCTCACATAAGCTCTTATGCCTGAGATCACTGCTAGTAATGGGCATTTTTTGCAGGTTGCTTATGTAGAGGCACTGTTTTAAAAACCGTCAGTCAGATGTCCAAGGAAATAAATAAGACTTTTTGTTATATAACAATTTTATGAAATCTGCCTTTGCTGCATCTGCTGTCAGCATTGAGCTTAGTCAAGAGATAAAACTCTCTTTAGGTTTACCTACAGGCATATTATGTTTTGTGCACAATGCTAGCACTGAATGACCTCTCCTGCTCACTAATTCTCAAATAGAAAACCATTGTAATTGGCTGTGAAAATCCAAGCTAGATGATCTACTTCTTCTAGGAAAGCAAAGGTGGGGGATATCTTTCATGGCTTAGTATGGTCTGAATACATTCAAATATTCACCAATCCAGCTGTCACAGATAGGGGAGGTGAATGGAATAAGGTGTGATTATTAGAGTACTTCAGATTATCAGAATAGTGCAAAGCTACAAAGCCTGCCATCTTGACTTGAAAAAGCACACATGTGCCACCATCACGCTTGCACTTTGTGGCAAGAGGGCCTCCCTCTGCACTGCCAACTTCAGAGACTAAGATTGCAGATAAATAATAAGGCAAAGCATTATTGCTGCCACATAAAGCTTCACTGTTATAGTGTAAAGCAGAGTTCCATTTTATTTTAAGATTTGGATTGAGTGGAGGAGGGTTAAAACTTTTCCTTTAAGAATGAAGATTTAGAATAACATAAATGCCCTATTTGTGGCTTGACCTCTTTTTGTTTTCATGGGTGAATACAGTACTCAATGCCTGCACTGCAATGTAAAGGAAAAAGTTAATGTATTGCTTAGAACAGTCTATAAATAAACATAATGTTTTTTACCTTTCAATCAAAGTAAGAAATATGTTCTTTAACAGATATATATCGCTGGTATGGAGAGGAAGGCATCGGGAGTGTCTGAAATTAATCCTGCTGGCAGTCTCCTTTCCTTGGTGGAAGCTGATATTTCCACTTTGAGCAAGCTATGGTTGTCTGTTCTGCAAGATCATGCACTACTTACTTTACCTGCAGAATGCAGTCACCTGCTCCCCACACAAGGTACGCCAATCTAACTTCACTTGTAATATGTCACTGACAACTATTTACGGTCTGCAGGCATGCATACAGTTTGAAAATAGTGAAATAAAAATACTTCCCTATAAAAATAGTATAGTATCTGTGAGGGGAATATACTTTAAAGGTGGAAGCCAAGCAGTGAATTGGCAAAGAGAATATTGATTGAGGAGAAAGTGATAGAGAAAGTTCATCGCTGTGCTGCTTTTCCTTTCACTGCCAGTCACAGGCTGGTGTGTGTCCAGAATGATGACATCAGTTCAGCGGACGTGGGTTAAATGATACTGAACTTCAGACTGAGAGCATTGTATGGTGGAAAAGAAGTACCAGAGATAAGAGCTGCAATAAAAGTGAATGCAAAAACTGTTTTAACATTTGGTGCCTGTTACTACTGATTTTCAGCAGTATGAATGGATGGAATCCTGTTTAAATGGCATAAAGGTAAAACAAAACGTCTGGACTAAATTCAACTGTACAATATATACATATCCAAAGAGTCTATGTTCTCTGTTACCAAAGGTAAATGTGTTCAACCTATACTCCACCAATCATTTTGTCTGAGTTCAGTGTGCTATGTGATTCCACCCACTTTCTTTGAAACACTGTCTACTGAATGTTGGAGGAGATGAAGAAATTTTAAAGTAAAGTCCCTCATACACTTTCCAATAAACAGCTGGGTCTCTACAGCCCTCAAAAGGTCTGTTTAGCCTGAACTTTTCAAGCAGAACTCCAGGTTTATTGTCAATCTAAATAGTTTGGGATATGCTGGGCCAAACAAACTATTTTCTTAACCGCTTCCCGACCAACCTATAGCAGAAATACTGCTACAGGGCAGCACAGGTGCGCAAATTCACGTGTATATATGTGTGTGTATATATATGTGATTTTTGCTTTTCCCGGTAGGGGGCACGCATCGCAGCCGCAGCTGTCAATCACCGTGTCCCAGCCGGTGATTACTCGTCAGCACCCAATGATTACTGAGGATCTCTGACGGGGAAGAGGACTGTTTTGTTTACTAACAGTTCTCCTCCCTGTCAGCTCGGGCACATTGCTTTGAATGGCTGTGCACAGCCATCCAAAGCAGTGTGCTTACAGTGAAGCACACTGACACGACCTCCTTGTAAAGCACTCCCTGCACACAGTTAACCCTTTGATCGCCCCTGATGTTAACCCCTTCCTGCCCAGTGCTATTAGTACAATGTTAGTGCTTTTATTTTAGCACTGATCACTGTATTGGTGTCACTGTGGATGTGAGTGACATCAAGTCAGTTCCCCCCAGTGTCAGAATCTCCATCGCAGTCCCGCTATAAATCGCTGATCGCCGCCATTACTAGTAAAAAAAATTCCAGTATCTATACCTCCATTTGTAAACACTATAACCTTCACATAAACCAATTAATTTACACCTATTGGGATTTTTTTTTTTTTAGCAAAGACATGTAGCAGAATACATTTTACCACCGAAAGAAAGCTCAATTTGTGGGGAAAAAAGGACATAAATTTAATTTGGGTGCAGTGTTGCATGGCCGTGCAATTGTCAGTTAAAGTAACACAGCGCCGTAACGCAAAAAATGGCCTGGTCAGGGGGGGGGGGGGGGGGTAAATCTTCAGAAGGGCAAGTGGTTAACTAACAGATGTGCCCACTGGGATCACTGTGTAAACTGTATGTAGCATCATTGTGTACAGTATACAGCGTTGTGTTTCTGCAGCAGGAGGGGAACTTCATAGGCAGCTCAGCCATTCATAGAAAGCCTTGTATTTTATGAATGAATACAAGGTTTCTTCTGATTGGCTGAAGTGGAGAGGTGATTGGATGATGTCATGTTCTTCAGCCAAATACAGGAAGACTTGTATTCCTAAAATAAAAGGCTTCCTGTGAATGGCTGAGCAGCGATCAGCTCGATTCAGTTTTGTTCCAAGAACAGGGCAGAAATCTCTGTCCGCTGCCGAAACACATCACTGTATACTGTTTGTAGTGTAGCTGATGCCTGCATACAGTTTATACAGTGTCCCGGGGCACATCTTTTAGTAAAGAAAGTAGTTTGTTTGGGCCGAACTGGCTAAACAATTTAAAGTCGCAGTAAAACTGGAGTTAAGCTTTAACTGCTTGTCAAACCCAGGCCCTCTCATTTCCACCCCTTTCCCTTTTAGCTTCTGCTTCACCACTCAGTTTAGGGTAGCATGAAAAGATTTTTACTTAGTAGTAATTTGAAAACTGCGGCTCTCTGGTTGTAGTTGAACTGTATGCCTGAACTACATGTTTTTATCGTTTAGCAATGCATTATGTTAACACGGTTTTGCATTGCTACACAGCTAGAGCCATGTTGGAAATGTATTAGCTTGCAAACTTGCGTTCCCCAGTGTTTGATCCCATTGCTTTATTTGTCTGCATTTTTAGGTGGTGCTTTCTACAATGCCGAAACCAGTGATGCAGCTAGGCCACATTATCTTTCTTCATGGGCTCCTATCTTACATGCTACCTCATTGTGGCTTAGCAGCTCTGGTTTTATCCATTCTGATCAAGAGGAAGCTGGCAGCCGGCTCTCTCGACCGGTCACTCCAACCTCTATGGGTCAAGAGCAGAGTACAAGGATACCTGCTAAGTCACCAGATGATGTCAACTCTGAGAGGTTTCACCTAATTCTAGGTATGTGTTGATATCCATCTCATAATATATTCATCAGTGCCAAGTAAACATTTTTACAGAGAACTTTCAAAAGTATTTTTCATTTTTAGCTAAACATTCCAAACACCTCCAGTTGGCATGTGGTACACAGTGGTGAGGGTCAGGTCAGGATAACTCGGTGAATTTAGGGCTATGTATTTTTTCTTAATGGTTTTATTGCCGTTTATGCTTATGTATGACCACTGGACTGTAAATAAGAAGCAGAGATTTTTAGGGAGTGTAGAACTTAATACAGCAGCTCGAAAGAGTAGGGCCCTCGAACCCCTCGTGTATTGTTTTGTTACTGTACTGTCTCATGTACTGTCCCCCACTATAATGTACAGCGCTGAGCAAACCTTTTGGTGCTATATAAATACTGTATTATAATAATAACTGTTGTTAAAATTGCTTAAAGGAGAACACCAAATGATTTATTTGCTTTATGTCTTCTATCCCCCAGCTGTAGAATATGAAAATTATGGGTGCACACTGGACACATTGGTGTTGATGTTCTTCCTGGAACTAAATAATAAGTAATAAATTAAATATTAGGCTCCTGCTGAGATTGTGATCCATAATCATCATGGTTTTCTGCATAGGTCACCAGTTAATCAGAATACACACAATTTTCCAGGGACAACACTACTTAGTCAGTAGATCGTTCACGATGCAGTAGATAACATCATCTATTTCTATTTACACTGACTTCCAGGGACTCATGCGCACAGAATTCTTTCCCTACCAGCTGCATGCTGAGTGGGAGGAGGAGTTGCATACACTAGTTTGTAAAGTGCTTTAACCACAGCCCGACCGCTCTATAGCAGATATACTGCTACAGGGTGGCAGGGGTGCGCAAAATCGCATATATATATATATATACATATGTATGTATGTATGATGTATATATATATGTGTATATATATATATTATATATTATATATGTGTATATATGTATGTATGTGTATATATTATATACAGTCATGGCC